CTCGTAGGCAACTAGGTGGTACGGTGATAGATCCTGGACCAGAGTCAGGAAGACCTGACTTCATATACCACTGCAGATACTTACTTGCTGTGTGACCCTGGGCAACTCACCTTCTATCTGCCTAAGTTTCCTCATCTGTAAAATAGAAATAATAATGGCACCTCCTTCCTAGGTTTCTTGTGAGGATAAAGTGAGAGAATGTTTGTAAAGTATTTTGCAAACATTAAAGAGATATATAAATGCTGGCTATTATCGTTATCATAATGATCATTTTTAGAAGTAGTATAGATGGGACCTTTGATGTCTTTGGTATTTGTGCTCTATAGTGAGATTTCTGGGTTAAAGGTTATGAATAGTTTATTAATGTTTCTTGCTTAGTTCCCAATAATTTACCAGAATTGTTGCCCAATTTCACCACTTCATCGGCATTATCTCATCATATGCATCTTCCCATATCCCCTCTGGCATTGACTGTTTCCATTTTTCATCATCTTTGTCGCTTTTAGGAGTATGAGGTGAAAACTCAGAATTGTTTGATTTGTAGTATTCTAGTTGTTAATGATATGGAACATTTTTATGTAGTTATTGATAACTTGCCTTTCTTCTTTTGGAAACTGCCTCTTCATAACTTTTGACAACTTATTTTTAGGGCAGTGGCTCTCATTCTCAAATATTTATATCAATTCATTATTTAACTTAGTTATCAGACCATTATCAGAAAGATGTTTGGTGCAAGGATTTTTCCTCACTAGACAATTTTTGTTCTTGTTCAAAAAATTTATCTAAGTTGTCCAGAATTTTAGTCTTTATTATCACTTCTACCTCTTATTTGTTAAGACTTCTTGCCCTTACCATAGTTGTAAAAGGAACCTCTTTCCGTTCCTTTCCAATTTTATGATGATACTTTGTATGCCTATTTCTTTGTATATCTGTGTCTGTCTATGTCTATATATAGATCTAGTTGGAACTTATTATAAATAATTTTGTTGTTGTTCAGTCACTTCAGTCATATCTGACTCTTTGTGACCCCATTTGAGGTTTTTTTGGCAGAGATACTAGAGTGGTTTGCTATTTCCTTCTCCAGCTCATTTGACAGATAAGGAAACTGAGGCAAACAGAGTGAAATGTCTTGCTCAGGGTCACACAGCTAGTACGTGCATGAGGCAGGATTTGAAGTAAGGAAGTCTTCTTGGCTCCAGGCCAGGCACTCTATCTACTCTGTCACCTAACTGCTAATTATAATAGCTAGCATTCGTATAATACTTTAATGTTTACATAGTGCTTTACATATATTATTTTATTTGGTCTTCACAATAGCCCTGTGAAGTAAGTACAGTTGTTATCCTCATTTTACAGATGAGGAAACTGAAGCTCAAAAAGGTTAAGTGATTTGCCTTTGGTCATACAGCTAACAAGTATCTGAGGCAGGATTTAAACGCAGGTCTTTTTGTCTCCAAGTGCAGCACTCTATCCACTGTGCCATCTAGTTGCCTCTTGTAGTATACTGTTGTAGTATATAGTAGTCCCTAACTTTTCTTACTGTTCTGGACTAAAACTTTTTATGAAAGTCTGCCAATGCCATTTCAAAGTGATTGAAAAGAATCTTGCTGATAGTTGTCTTACAGACTGATGAGAGTGCTAGTGAATGTTTCTGTCTTCAGTGCCCATCAGTTGGTAATGTTGAAGGTGGAGTACCTACTGGACATTATATTATCTCCTGGAAGAGGTAAGAGTTACATAAATCTTACCTTTTCCTCAGCCTCATTGAATTTCTGAAGTGTTTATTTTTTGCCTTTTTCACTCACCGTGAAAAAGGGGATCCTGTGATACATTGGGTGGCAAGTAACAGAATAAAATATATGTAAATATTCTCTCCCTTAAAGATATGTAAACTTATGTCATAGCAAAATGATTGCTAAATTTTTATTTGTGTTAATCTAGGTTTGGCTTTACCAAAAATGTCATCTCTTGTCCTTTCCTCATTCCTTTCCTCCTTTTCCTTTCCTCCAAATCATCTTTCTCCCCCTCCTTTGCCCCCCCATTTTATGTATAACAGAATTACATTTATCATCATGGGGAAAAAAGACCTAGTTCTGACTTGACTTCTTCTCACTTCTAATTTATAATATCCTGTGTGTAGAATTATATTTTTATATTTGGTTTAACTTACATATTAATAGGAGTAAATCCAAAAGAACATTTTAGAGGTGTGGTTTGGTTTTGGTATAATATTTATTCTAGTTCCTGCTCTATCCATGTGAGTATTTTTGGATGAGGATGGAGAGTTGAGACTAGGTTTTTTTTCTTAAATCATTATGTCAGATTTTTCATTTGTAAGTCAGGGAAAAGATATGGCATGTTTCATAGTAGTACTTTATGCTTTGAAATGATAGTTTGAGAATGAGTAAGAGTAGAGTTACTTTGGACTATTGTAAAAGTACTCTTTTTATGTGATTAGATAATACCGTTTTACTAATGTAAGATTTTTTAAAAAGTGGAATGTTGCCTAAAAAAAAAAAGTAGAATGTTGAAATTGCATGCAACAAAGGTTTTGTTCCATTAAATTTACTTTCCTTAATAAACTGAAAAAATAAAAGTATTTTTTTCTATGAAATCAGTTAAAGAAGAGGGGTCGTAAACATGGTTTTCTGATTCACTCTTATGTTTATAACATTGCACATGAATTGTGAGTTAAACTTACAAAGTAGCTTTTTCTTCACTTCTTTTTGTCAGGACTTCAGCCATAGAAAATGTCCCTGTCATCAATACTGTCATTACTCTGCCACACGTGATTGTAGAAAGTATCCCACTCCATGTGAATACAGGTAACAGGAATGTGAATTTTACTTGAATGAAAAGGATTATAATTATTATTACTACATATGGATGCAGTTGTAACTTTCAGGTATACCGAAACCTAAATTAGGTCTTGTTTACTAGTTCTTAATCAGTTTTTAAAAGAGCCAGTGTGTCCTAGTGAGTAGAGAGCCAGCCTTAGAGTTAGGAAGACATGGATTCAAATCCTAACTCTGTGACATGGGCAAGTCACTTAATCTCATTGGGCCCCAGACTGATAGCTCTTTAAGCTATAAATTTCAGAGGCGTATTGATTTATGTTCAGAGTTCCCTCAAACCAGTGAGACTTCTGAAACATCTGAAATCTGAACATCCCACCTCTTCCAGAATTTCAGTAAGCACTAAAGATTCAGTCAGATTTTTTTGGTGCTCTTGCTTTCTTGTTCCTCTCTGCTCCAAGGAATAGAGTTTTTCAGATGGTTTTTATGAATCAGTCAACAAGTGTTTAATTATCAGACACTGTGCTAAATGTTGGAGTTACAAAAGCAAATGTGAAGCAGTCTCTGCCATCAAGTAGCTCTCCTTCTAAGGAGAGAGACAACATGTAGACATTTATAGAATATTTATAAAATGAGTCCAAGGCAGTTTGACAAGGAAGGGCACAATATCTGTTTTCCAAGTAAGTAATTTACTTCTTAAGAAAACAAGAACAACATTTATTAGTTATAAGAGGGGCTGCAGGGCTTAGTGGGTATTGATAGGGTAATTTGGGAGCTAATTTCTCCAGCAAAAAATTGAACCTTGTTTTTCTTCTCTAAAGATCTGCCATCTTTTGGTCGTGTTAGAGAATCATTACCTGTCAGGTATCATCTACAGAATAAGACCAGCTTAGTTCAAGATGTAGAAATTTCTGTGGAACCCAGTGATGCCTTCATGTTCTCAGGTCTTAAACAGGTACGATATTTTGCTTTCCTATGTAAAACCTGTAAGTAGCCCTGTAATCAAGCATTTGTATACTTTTGTAAATGCATTAATAGGCCATGTTCTTCTTATTATTTTATTAAAATTGTGTTCATTTGCTTTTTTGAAAGTATTAAAATCTATATTTGTGTACATAAGTCAAGAAAATACAGCAAACTTGAGACAGAACATGTGATGATCAACTTCATATTATTGAGTTCAGGATTGTATGGACCTCATGCTTCCCACAAAGTGGGTGGTTCATGTCTTACCCATAGTGCATATGCACTGACAGAATTACAGATCTTTTAAGATATTATACAATTATAACACATACTAATATATGTGTGTGTGTGTGTGTATGTATATATGTGTGCATGTATGTGTATGTATATATATGTATATATATATATATACATACACACTTATATCTAGCTTGACACTATGCATTTATAGAAATTCTGTTTTGCATATCCATGCTTACATGCGTTATCTCCATATGTGATATATGGATGTAAAATTCAATGTATAACTTGATCCAGTGTAGAGAAAACTATGTGGAGCCTTGTATTCTCAGTCTTTAGCAGGCGTAAACTACCTTATAGATCTTTAAAGTGCTTCCTTTGAAACAATCCAGTTTACTCACCAGTTATTATTTATACTGACAAAGTATATGCCTTATAGTGTATTAAGATTAGGCCAGTAGGTATCAAATCAAGGAGTTGCCGCACTTAGGTAAAACAGATACAGTCCACAGTTACTTCTCTGTACTAACTGAGGAGAGCAGAGGTGTGGATAATGAAGAACAATTCATAAGTACCTTACATTTGTTTTGGGCCTTTTCCTAAAGTTAGCAAGACACATGCATAAATTAGTACACGCTTGAACACATAGACATTTACTCTCTACCTAGTCCCAACAGTATCCTGATTCATCCCTATTGTTTTATAGTTTAGGATCCAAATGAATTATCATGTGTAGATAAATGAATGTTGACTAAATATGTATGTACCACAGGCACATGTATGCCTGGTTGTCTTTACTCACTACTTTTTATCATTTAGATTCGATTACGTATCCTGCCAGGCACAGAGCAAGAAATGTTGTACAACTTTTACCCTTTGATGGCTGGATACCAGCAGCTGCCGTCACTCAACATCAACTTACTCCGTTTCCCTAACTTCACAAATCAACTGCTCAGACGTTTTATACCTACTTACATTTTTGTAAAGGTATGGAGACAGTAGAAATTTTTTTGTTTTAATTTATTGTCTTTTCATTTCACAATAATTATGCTTCAATAATGATGTTCAACTGGGAGTAGATTAATTAACTCTAATAGTTTTCATCAGTTTTATGCAACCAAAAGTACAGCTTATAGCAAAGTGCTGTAAACATTTCAAAGCTGCCAGCTGTGTACAGAGCACTGTGCTAGGTATGCAAGGGGGGCATGATGTGAGGTTTAGGTTAAGATATGATCCCCACCTTAAATTCACTTACAGTCTAATAGAAGAGATATGACATATGTAGGTAACAGTATTACAATATTAAATGTGAGATTAAAAAGTTACAGAACAAAATTTGAAAAACAGAGGCTTAGTGAATTACAAGTTAAGCATGAGTCACTAATGTCGAATGACAACCGAAGAAAGTTAATGCAATCTTGGGCTGTAGTAAGGGAGTTATAATGCCCACAACCTCGAGTGGTGTTAGTATCAGGGTATTCTACCGTAGTTAGACCACGTCTGGAGTACATAGTTCATTTTGGGGCTCCACATTTTAGGAAGGACAGTAATGACCTAGAGAGTGTCCAGAGGAGAATATCCAGGATGTTGAAGAGGCTCAAGTTCAAGCCATATAATAATCTATTGAAGAAACAAAGGATATTTCACCTGAAAAAGAGAAGACTAGAGTGGGGAGGAGCTGGTCTCTTCTAAGTATTTGAAGGGCTGTCATGTGGAAGACAGACTTGTTCTGCTTGGCCATAGAGGGCAAAATTAAGCTAAATGTAATGAAAATTTCCTGTTAAATTGAAGCTGTCCAGGAATTAAATGGGCCGTCCAGTGACGTAGTGGGTTCACCTTCAGCTGAAGTTTTTCAGCAAAGCCTGGATGCCCCCTTATTAGGTATTGTAGACGGGATTCTTTTCCAATTGTGGATTGGAGTTGATGGCAGCTGTGACCCCTTCCAACTCTAGACTCTGCTGAGCCTGGGAAAATGTTATGCGGTATCTGAGGGAGAATGACATTTTTCATGGGAGGATAAAGGAAGGTCCTAGTGGAAAAGTGGCCATTTTAGCTGGGTTTTAAATGAGTGAATAGAATTCAGTAAGCAAAGATGGAAAATCATTCCAGGCATAAGAAACTATGAGCAAAGCCATGCATGCAGGAGAATGCAATGCATGTTCAGATGCAGGAGAGAGTAATCATTATAGCTGGCTTATAAGATGGATAGAGAGGAGTACTAGAAGACAGAGATACTCCCCAAATGTCTTGGGCTTTACAAGCTATGCAAATGAGTCTTCCTTTTACTTGGGATAGGGTGGTGGGTCACTGAAGACTTGTAAATGGAAGAGTTATAGGATCAAATCTATGCATAAGTTATTTTGGAAGTGATGTGGAGGATGGATTGAAGAAGAGGAGTAGTATGGAAAGGGAAGAGCTAGAAGGTGGCTGTCATCATGATTTAAGTCTGCTCTAGATAGAGGCAGCCAGGAGAGAGCAAAAGGGCAGCTGTGAGAAATGATGCAAAAATGACTTTAATAGGACTTGGTAAGTGGTTGGTTTTGAGAAATGAAGAAAAGGGGAGAGTCAGAGAAAAATAGATCACAAGCATGATGAGCTAGGTGAATTGTGGTAACACACAGAAATAGTAAAGTCACAAAGGAAGAGCAGGCAAAAAGAGTAAGGAGCTAGCTTTGGACATAAGAGTTTTACATGAGCTCATAGAACATCCAAGTGGAGATGTCTTATAAGTAATGTGAATGCAGGTCTCAGCTCAGGAGTCAGGGACAGGGATATGAATTTGGGAATCACAAAGTTTATAGTGTGCAAATGAAGGAGATTGCTAAGGGAGCATATGCAGAGAGTTAAGAGAAGGCAGCCAAGGAAATAGCCATGGGAACATCCATGTTAAGAAGTGTGGAAGATTTGGAACCATGAGAAAGACAGAGAGTACATGAAGAAGTATTAGAAGCAAGATGGTATATTGTCTCAGAAGTTGAGAGATAGAGAGTGTATGCAATAGAAGGGGATAGTCATCAGTATAAATAAGGATGGAGAATTTTAAAAGGCCACCGAATTTGGAAATTAGGTCTTTAGTGTCCTTAGAGCAGTTGCAGTACTAGCAAAAGGATGAGTGGAAGCAGATTCCAAAAGGTTTAATAGAGTGTAGTGAGAAAATGAAAGCATTATTTGGGGACAGATTTTTTTTTCAGTAACTTAAGTAGTGAAGAAGAGGAGAAAAATGAAATGGTAGGTATATGGAATAGAAGAGTCAGGGGAAGAATTTGCTTGGGTCAGAGAGATTTGAGCATATTTGTGGACAGAAGGAAAGAAGCCATTGACAAAGGGGATGTGGTGACACATGAAGGAGAGAAAAGACTATTGGAACAAAGTCTGGTAGTCATCATTGTGAATCAGGACAAAGAATTTCAGCTGAGAGGAAATGGGGTCAAAGCCACAGGTAGTAGGATTAGCTTTAGTGAGTAGCAGAAATAGTTCATCTGGAACCAGAGGGAAGCAAAAAAAGTAACCAGTGATATTTAGAAGTTAGGAGAAATGAAGGAAGAGACTGTGGTGCTCATATCCAGTGACCTTTCAATCTTCTCAGTGGAGGGGGAAACCTTGTCATCTGCTGCTATGATGAGAGGTGGGGATGGTGTCAGGAGGGTCTAAAGGAGACAAGGAAAGGTTTCGAACAGTCATCATAGGGAATCAGGTGAGTGGCAGTAATGATCAAAAAGGATTATTGAGCAGCAACAAGAAACCTAGCTGAGATTGGACATCAGGAATTAATTTTAGGTAAAAATGAGCTGTTTTATTCCCTTATCTGAGTCTTCTCCACATCTAAAGTGGGAGTAGAGAAAATGGATTGACGGATGAAGATTTGTGGGTCCAAAATGGTGGAAGGTCAGACAGACATGGAATCCTAGTAGCTAGTGCAGTGGATAGAGCTCCGGCCTTGAAGTCAGGAGGACCTGAGTTCAAATATAATCTCAGACACACAGCCGTGTGACCCTGGGCAAGTCACTTAACCCCAATTGCCTAGCAAAAAAGGAAAAAGAAATATCAAACTAAGCTAATTGTAAGATTAGAGTGGGTAGAGAAATAAATGAAGCCTATGTGAGGGATAGGGAATAGGAGAACAGAAAATGACTCTGATCTCAAAGAAAGCTATAATCCCAACTTAAATCACTGAGCAATCCATCTTTGTGTAATACTGAAATGTATATTTTTCCTTCTTTAGACATATAAAACTGTTTTTAAAAAAATAGAATTATTATCTAAATGCAATACCCAAACAGTCTTTTAAATCTCTGTAGTTCCATAATACTGGATTTGTACCTTTTTTTTGAAAGCCCAACTCTGTAAACACATGTTAAATGTATATAGCTCATTTGAAGTCCATATGCATATATTCTACTATCATCAGATCCTTGCAGTGTAAGACAAACAGGATGACACCATTCAAAATCACTTTGGAAACCATAAAGTGCTACATAAATGAGTTACTCTTCTTGATAATAAAGGTTTAAGAAATGCCATGTTTGGCTAAATTATTGGTCTGTCAGGCCTAGTACTAATTCTTACTCTGATAGGAGCATCATCAGATATCTGTGGCTAGACCTCTGTGCCTTTCATGAAATCACCTTCAGAAGACTGGAACAGATCCCAAATATCCCTAATTTTCCTTTATGTTACATTACAGTTATTTGTATTAATTCACTTTAACCCTTATTTGTATCTCTAGCCAGTACCAGCCTCTTAGAATAACAAGTTATATAAACGTACTACTTCCCCTGTAAAGTTGTACTTCACAGAATCTCGGAGATGAAAGGGACCTCTAGGACAGGGCGCAAGGAAACACAGGCAATGAGTGGCAGAGCTATGCTTCAAATCCAAGTCTCCTGACTTTAAATCCTTGCACTGTTCTCAGCTGTCCCTTCTTCCTTCCCCCAGATTGGGAACAAAGAGTTGTAATTGGCCTTCCTGCTACTCTCCTCTCCTGTCACCTCTTAGAGATCGCCACCCTCACCTTAAGAAACTTTGCATTAATTCAAGGTGAAAATGAAACTTGTATCCATGAAGACATGACTATTCTAGTTCTATTAAGTTGATTGGAGATGCTAGAGTTAGCTATGTCTGGAAAAATCAATTTGTGCTGTGTCGCTTAACCCTTAACTTATTTTCATCTCATTTGTGGCACTTCACTCCACTTAATGATATCTCAGTCTTCCTCTGGATTACTGACAAAGCCAGCTTTTCCTGGGTGGCATTTAACTTTGTGAGAAAAATAACTCTGCCAGAAACAGTTGGAAGTTTTAACATTTCTTACGTGCCTACCTTTTGGATTATTATAATCCTTTCTTCTGAATTGCAAGCATTGCATTCCAACAAGATAACTTCTGCCAAGAAGCCAACTAGGAATCGTTTTGAGAGCTAGCTCCTAGAGCAGTGGTGGAGATTTGTAATTGAAACAAAGACACTTCTTCAGTGTAGTTGTTGAACCCCTCAGTCACTTCGATGTAAGTATAACTGCCCCGTTTTCTCCGACACCCTCTTGGACCCCAGAGAAAGTCTCTCAACATTTTCTTTCTCTGACTAGAAACAATCATAATACTTCCATAATTTTATAGTACTGTAAAGGTTTACAACATAACTTCACATTATGAGGTAAAATATTATTATTATGAGTGTAGGTATTATTAGATCCATTTTGCAGAAGAGGGAGTTGAAATTTAGAATTGAAGTGACTTGCATAAGTGTCACATAACTAGGCAGTGACAGATTTCTGCATCATGTAATGAGCAGATCACTCAGCTCCTTTTTCTGCCCCTTGTCGTGAAGCTGCTCTTCGCTTTACAAGGGCATAATACAGGGGACAGAAATAGTTAACCTTTCCTTCTTTCTCTAAAGCTGCTGTCTACCACTAATTTAATTTAGACTCTAAATCAGGATTCTTGAACTTTTTTGTGTTATGGACCTATTTGGCAATCTGTTGAAGCCAGTGGATCCCTTCTCAGAGTAATGTTTCTTTTCTTTTTAATTCATAATCACAGGAAATGCTAAATTTCAGGTATAGAAAGTAAAGAAGTTACTCTCATCATAATCTTTTATCATGCCATCTTTTCCTCTGACTTAGGACCCCTAACCCCTGTTCTTCATTCTCATTGTTACTTCCATTCACTCCACCCCTCAGTTCTTTCCAGACTGTGTCACTTGTTCATTGGCTACGCTCTCCTTTCTTTTCTGTGACCCTTTGGTGAATCACTTAAATTCTGCATTGTCCTCTAAATTCAAATTCCTGGCCTCCGTATTCTGTCACCGATCCTGCCTTACCACTCTCCAGCCTTGGATTATATCTGTTGCCTTTGCTTCTGTTCACTTGCTACTTAACAGAGCTAGAGAAAACCACAAAATTATTATGAAAGGGTCTACTATAAATATATAAATATATCTCAGTTAAGCCCTCATTACTACAGGGTAATCCCTCTACATCTCTGTAATAGGTTCACTATCTCACTCACCACAGAGACCTTTTAAATTTTGTGTATCTCCACTAGCTTCCTATGGCACCCCCCAGTCATATTCTCAGCTAAAGACCTTGCCTGTACCTCACTGAAAAAAATTATGCCATTCACTAAGAACTCCTTTTCTCCTCATCCTGTATCACTCACGTGTCTTCCCCCGTATCTGTCTTCCTTCACCCCTATCTTGCATGGAGAGATAGTCCTTCTCCTTCCCAAGCCAAACCCCTCTTTGTGCACGAATGATCCTATTCCATCCCATCTTTTTCAGCAGATTACTCCAGTTATCATCTCTACTTTTTCACTTAGAATCTAGAGTCTCCCTCCTGCTAGCTGTGGAAAACTCCCAAAAATGTATCCTAGACCCTTTGCTCTTTTCTATATATACCATCTCTCTTGGCAGTTTCATCAGCTCTGATGGGTTTAGTTATTATATTTATGCAAATAATTCTCAGCTCTATCTATTCATCTCTAACCTCTCTCTTTACCTCTAGTCTCATGTCTCCAGCTGACTACAGACCCCTCAGATTTAAGATAACAAACTTAAATTCAGTGAACTAAATTCATTATCTTCCCTTTCCCCCAAGTCCACCCCACTTCTTTCTTTTTCCACTTGCAAATATTGAATTTAATAGGAAATATCAAATTGTAAACTAGTCTATTTATCTATTACTTTAAAACAGAATTTTACTACTCACATAAAAGCTAAAATTGAGACATATAAGTAGAAAGCACATTATTCAAAAATTCTTTCAGAGACACCTGAATCAGACTCACAAGACTTTTTCCCTCCATGGTGGAACCAGTAGAAGCTTTCCATAGTTAGATAAAAAATTAAACAGTAGGAAGGCAGGAGAGTGAAGGTGTGGCAATCTTAATAGTAGAGGGGTGAGCAGAGGTGGAAGTTCCCATTGTCTGGAAGGGAGACAACAGCATGAAATGTTCTAAAGGGAGTTGAGTTTCATCAGAGGATACTAATTTTGGCAAAATACATCTGGGGTATAAGACTGTTCATTTTTGATGGAGAAAGGTCCTAGAGGATAGAGACAATACCTGATCTGGCTTTGTATCTCCCTTGGCATCTGGTTAGCACATTGTCCATAGTAGGTGTTAATGTTTATTGAATGAATATTACCTGATGGTAAAGTGCATAGTCATTTTAAATAGGGATGGGCAAACTTTACTAGGCAGACTTTTCGACATGTATAGCCTTGCACTCACAGATCTTAAGAGTGAAACATTATTCATGTTCTACTACTAACCCAACTGGCTTATTGCCAATACTGAAAAGTCCTTGGAAGTGGCCCTTGCTTCATTCAGTTTGGCTATTTTCTAATGAAACTGCAATATGATTACTGAACAAAAAGTGGGCTTCAGTAGGGGAATGGGTTTCTACCCTACTCTCCTAAAGCATTAGAGTGAGCTCAGTGAACCCAAAGCAGGACTAGACCCCAGTAGCAAAGACTCTTTTGGCCCCTTTCTTTCCCCAACCCCTCAACATTTTACTTATGGCATCATCTCAGTTCAGGTAAGGTGTCTGTAAAAGAGACAGAAGCAAGACAAGGAGAAAAAAGAAAAGGAGGTATTCCTCTCCACCCCACCTACACTTGTCACTTATCCTGTTCGAGTCCAAAGTGCCCACTTTTCTCAGGTCTGTTTTTCCACATGTAACCACATGGAAATTCTTCTAAACACCTTTCCTGGAAAGGTGAAACAAAGTGTGTGTATATTCACACTTTTTTTCTCTCTCTCTCTCTCTGTGCCTTGGGGTCACTTTTTTTCAAATGTTTGTGTTAGGCATTTCCATGTCCACTTTCCCTTATTTAGCAGGTAAAATATGGCAGTAGAAAAGAAGAAATACATACTTGAGAGAAAATCAAATTATAGCATCAAACATCATTTCTGTAAGCTTCAACCCTTACAACTGAGTACAGTATACTCACCTACACTCATTTTTAGCAAAGGCAAATAAAACATTGTTTGGAGCAGGCATATATTTGATCAGTGAAAAAAATTTTTTTTCCGTAGACCTGTTCCCCCAAAGTTTGTATATCTCTGGGAGATTGGACAGCAGGCAAGTTAGTCACTATATGGTTTCTTGGAAGATTGGCTTTTATCCGTTTCTTTTTCTTTCATACTGTACAGTGGTTCCACTGGTTTGTTATGAACATGCATCAACCCTTTGAAACACTTGACAGTTTTCCCTTTAAGCTCTAATGTGGCATCTTCCTCACACACAAATACCATGTGGGAGTGCTTCTGGAGGGCAGACACAGTCCACATGTGATTTATACCCTCCTCATTGGCCATGTATAGTGCAGGTGCCTTCTGGGTTCCCATAATTGGGACCATGACCTCTCTGGGATCCATGACTGTGGCTACAACCACAGTCAGAACCAGTGGGGGACCTTTTGAGAGGTCTCCTTTAAAGAACTTGGCTTTGGCTAGGGTGGTATCCATGGCCAGAGGCTTTACTAGAGTCCTAGACTCCAGACTTAGGCCAAGCTCATTGAAGGCATTATGCGCATGCAGACCAGCGCCTCCAGCAAATAGCTCAATCCCTCCAGCTGTCGTCTCCTCAAAAGCAGCACATTCTGCCTCCAGATCAGCTGCATTCCCATCCAGGAGATGGGTGTTTTCAGGCCAAGTGTCAGCGTGCTTGAAGAAGTTGTTCCACTTGAAGGAGTAGAAGCTCTCAGGATAGTCATGTGGGAGACCCACATACTCATCCATGTTAAATGTCTTCATGTACTTGAAGGACATGCTTCCTGTAGGAAGCCTAGCATGAAATGCCTGTCTGGCTCGGTGAAACAGGGTGATTGGGTTTCTGACCTGAGAGTGATTGTTCAGGTGATGAGTTTCGTCGTGCCTTGTTCCCCGCCCTCTGACTCCTGTAACACCAGAGATTATGCCTACATAACTCCTTTTGGGCTAGAGTCATCCCCCTTAACTTCTCTATCAGGGACACCACCATTCTTCCAATCTTCCAGACTCAGCTTCGGTGTCATCTTCTCGACACTGCCCCCTTGCCCCTGATATCCAGGCTGTTGTCAAGTCCTGTCAGTTCTACCTTTGTGGCATTGCTTCCTTTGTCTCCTCTGATGCTGCCACCACCTTGGTGAAGGCTGCCCTCACCTCACAGGGCTACCTGCCTCAAGTCTTATCCCCACTTCAGTCCATCCTCTGCCCAACAACCATCAAAAAGTGTTGGTCTGACCATGTCCTCACACTTCAGTAAACTCTAGTGGCTCCAAGATTGCAGATACATTCCATATATAAAATTTCTTGTTTAAAACCCTTCATAGATATGGCCTTGGGGGTGGAGCCAAGATGGCAGTATGAAAGTAGTGGCTTGCTCGAGCTTTCCCCCAAGCCCCTCCAGATACCCATAAAAAAATGGCTCTAAACAAATTCTAAAGCAGCAGAACCCCCCAAAAAGACAGGGTAAAACAAATTTCCAGCCCAAGACAGCCTGAGTGGTTGATTGAGAAGGCTTATCGTGCCAGGCTGGGAGCAGAGCACAGTGTGGCGTGGGCACACAGCGAACCTGGAGCAGTGCTCAGGGGACTGAATCACGGGCAGCTGTGGCAGTGTCCAGACTCCTCAATCCACAAACGCCAAAGACAGCTTAGAAGGTCAGTGGGAAAAGTCTGTTTTTGTGGTGAGAGAAGAGCTAGGTCAGAGCCAGTTCCAGAGCGCAGAGCACGGGTGCCTGGGTGGTGTCTGTGTCCTGAGCTTCCGGCCCACAGACTGAGGGGGAATCAAGTGGCTGATCAGAGGGGGATTGCAGGAATCTCTTTGCCAGTGCTGAGACAGGAATCTCTTGCTTTGCCCATGCTTGGATCTGGGTCACAGTTCTGGGTGGCGGTCCTCGGGTGAGGAGGAGCGCTGGCGCGGTGGAGCTTGTAGTGGAGGCAGAGAGCAAACCCTCTTCACAGTTCTAAGAGAGAAAAGACTGCTTGTGGCCAGTCACTCAAAGACCAGAGCTCAGGCCAGGAAAAGAGTAAATACCTGCACCCTCATCATACCACCTTGGAAGAACTGTAAATTTACAGGTCCTTAGAAGTATCTCTGAAAGCTATACAAACCCCCGAAGCTTGGGACAGTACATTCTCCACATTGGAAGCAGACTTTTATCTTAACAAAGAGTTTACAACTCAAGTAATTGGCCGAGATCATGAACAAACCTTGCAAAAAGAGTCAGACTGTATTATCTTACTTTAGTGACAAAGAAGATCAAAACATACAATCAGAAGAAGACAACGGAGTCCAAGCTCCTACATCCCCAAGCCTCCAAGAAAAGTATGAATCAGTCCCAGGCCTTGGAAGAGCTCAGAAGGGATTTTGAGAAGCAAGTAAGAGAAGTAGGGGAAAAATTGGGAAGGGAAATGAAAGTGATGCAAGAAAATCATGAAAAACAAGTCAACAGCTTGCTAAAGGAGACCCAAAAAAATACTGAAGAAAATTACACCTTAAAAAATAGCCTAACCCAAATGGCAAAAGAGGTCCAAAAAGCCAATGAGGAGAAGAATGCCCTAAAAAGAAAAATTGGCTCAATGGAAAAGGAAGTCCAAAAGATTACTGAAGAAAATACTTCCTTAAAAATTAGAATAGAGCAACTGGAAGATAGTGACTTTATGAGAAATCACGACACAGTAGAACAAATCCAAAAGAATGAAAAAATAAAAGACAATGTGAAATATCTCATTGGAAAAACAACTGACCTGGAAAATAGATCCAGGAGAGAGAATTTAAAAATTATTGGACTATCTGAAAGCCATGATCAAAAAAAGAGCCTAGACATCATCTTTCAAGAAATTATCAAGGAAAACTGCCCTGACATACTAGAACCAGAGGGCAAAATAGAAATTGAAAGAATCCACCGATCTCCCCCTGAAAGAGATCCCCAAAGGAAAACTCCTAGGAATATTATAGCCAAATTCCAGAGTTCCCAGGTCAAGGAGAAAATATTACAAGCAGCCAGAAAGAAACAGTTCAAGTATGGTGGAAACACAATCAGGATAACACAAGATTTAGCAGCTTCTACATTAAGGGACCGGAGGGCATGGAATATAGTATTCCAGAGGGCAAAGGAGATAGGATTACAACCAAGACTCACCTACCCAGCAAAACTGAGTATAATCCTTCAGGGGAAAAAAATGGTCATTCAGTGAAATAGAGGACTTTCAAGCATTCTTGATGAAAAGACCAGAGCTGAATAGAAAACTTGACTTTCAAGTACAAGACTCAAATGGAACATGAAGAGGTAAACAGGAAAGAGAAATCATAAGAGACTTATTAAGGCTGAACTGTTTACATTCCTGCATGGAAAGATGATATTTATAACTCATGAGACCTTTGTCAGTATTAGGGTAGTGGGAGGGGAAAAATTATATGTATAGATAGATAGATAGGTAGATAGATAGATAGATAGATAGATAGATAGATAGATAGATAGGTAGATAGATAGATAGATAGATAGATAGATAGATAGATAGATAGATAGATAGATAGATAGAGGGCACAGGGTGAGTTGAAGATGAAGGGGTGCTATCTGGAGAAAAAATTTAAGGGGTGAGAGAGGATTATACTAGGAGAAGGAGAAAGGGAGAGGTAGAATGGGATACATTATCTTGCACAAAACAGACAAGAAAAGGTTCTTACAGTGGTGGGGAAACAGGGGAAGGTGACAGGAAATGAGAGTCTTATTCTCATAGGATTTGGCTTAAGGAGGGAATAACATACACACTCAACTGGGTGTGGAAATCTGTCTTACCCTACAGGAAAATAGGGGAGGAAGGGGACAAGAGAGAGGGGGATGATAGAGAGAAGGGCACATTGCGAAAAGGGTAATCAGAAGGAAGTACTTCTGAGGAGGGACAGGGTCAAAAGAAAGAATAGAATAAATGGGGGGGCATGATAGGATTAAGGGAAATAGAGTTAGTTTTTCACAACACGTCTACTGTGGAAATGTTTTGCATAACTGCACATGTGTGGCCTGTATTGACTTGCTTGCCTTTTCAATGAGGGTGGGTGGGGTGGGAGGAAGGGAGAAAATTTGGAACCCAAAGTTTTAAAAAGATATGTTTAAAAAAATGTTTCCACATGCAACTGGGAAATAAGAAATACAGGAAATGAGTACAGAAATCTATCCTGCCCTATAGGAAAGTAGAAGGGGAAGGGAATAAGAGAAGGGCACAGGGAGAGACAGAAGGGAGGGCAGACTAGGGGAAGGGGTATTCAGAATGCATGCCATCTTGGGGTGGGGGGAGGGGCAAGATAGGGTGAAAATATGGAATTCAAAATCTTGTGGTAAAAATAAATAAACTCATATACCAAAAATAAATACATAAATGAAAAAGGAGGGGGGAAAAACCCCTTCATAACTTAGCCCCCTCCCCCACCTTTCCAGTCCTCTTACATCTTGCACCCCACCCCATGCCATGCTTTGATCCATTGATATTGGCCTCCTTGCTGTTCTGGCACAGGATATTCTTCCACCTTATGACTCCAAGTATGTTCGCTGGTTGTCTGTCATGCCTGGAATATTTTCTCTCCTCATCTTTGTCTCCTGACTTTCCTGTCTTCAGGTCCTAGCTAAAATATCAGCTTCTGAAAGGAGCCTTTTCTACTTCCCCCTCAATTCTGGTGCCTTCTCGCCATGATTCTCTCCAGTTTATACTTTCTGTGCATGTTTACGTCTTGTCTCCCCCATTAGAGTGTTGGGGTTAGGGACCGTATTTTTGCCTTTCTTTGTATCCCTGGCACTTGATACATGTTGATTTGACTTTTTAAAGCCAGGTTGTTTTTTTTCCTCCTTAAAGCCCCAGGGCCGGCAAGTGGGTGATACCTCCATTGCTGCTGCATAACTCCCAGACCTGCCCCATGATGCTGCAAGAGAAGACCCTGCACAAATCGATAGAAAGACTTTTGTTTTTTCATTTACAGCTATTGTTTTGACCAGACAGAAAAGTTAAAACTAAAAAAAAAAATGAGTGGCTGTTGTATCAACTCTTCAAAGAAACTTGTGTTTAAATTATTTTTCTTTTAATTTCCTCTTTCATCTGTTTTCACTAATATTTGAAATCTCAGTGTTTTATGGGAAGATGAGAAATTCTGGAAATACTGAATGTTTTTTAAAGTATTATTTAATGTGCACATAGGATAGTATTAGTGGACTGTGAGGAATTATATTCAAACATTTTGGCAGCAATAGTAGTAGCTCACAAATTTCTTTATGCTCTTAATAGCACTTACTAAACACAAAATGAATTTGTTCTGTTGGATTTAGTCAGCGCATCAAATTATACAGCAGCACAATGACCCGCACTGATGACTGTTAACAGAGAAATTTCCAGAAAGGTTGAGGGCGTTTTAATCTAAGTTCTCCAAAGAATAATTTTTTTTTTGCCTGCCCTTGAAGCCTGCAGTTTAGATTTTACAGTAATTAGTCATTAATGCATGAAGTATTTGGGAAAAGAATGTTTCTGCCTACTACCATATTATCAAATTCTAAATTGAGTTTCATATTTTGGAGCAGCATGAGACACAAGCATAATTTCCCAAAATAAAGGTATTAGAACATCTGTGTTTGGTCTGTGTTCAGCCTTCTTAGCAGTGATGTGCAGTTTTAGAAGAACTATTTAAAACAAATCCTATTAAGTCATGTATATACAAATTGTTGAGATTTTTTCACCTTTAAACTTTCTGTATATTAAATTAAAACCTGACTTTGATTTCTTGGGAGTGTATTATTTAAAGTAAAAGAAGGATTGTCATAAAGAGAATAAATTATGTAAATAAATAAGCTCTCTTTAAAAGGCACTTGTGTGTGCATTGCACTGTTAATTTGAACTGCAGGTGTGATATAGTTCTAATAATGCTAGACTGGGATTCTGTTCTTGACTTTCCCACTA